TTATATATATATAAAATTATGCATAATATTTCGTAATGTAAATTTCACTATTAATTGTCTGTAATTTTTGTAAGATTTTCGAAATATTTTTAGATACATACCTTCATTGTGACAAGTATCAAACAGTGCCACGAGCCATGAACGGAAAGAAAATATATTGGGCTAACGGGCGCTAGAGTGCGTATACCGGACATCCGGTTTAAGTACAATGAAATTTAAAAGTGAAAATAATAATAAACAAACTTCTGATACAATTTTTAGTATTGTACATGAATATTTACATATTCATTGAAGTTTTAATGTAAATTTTTAGTACTAAATTAATTGCAAATAAAATATATTTATTTCATACTCAAATCTTAAATTAACAGGTATTCTTTGATTAATGGAAGTGATACTAGTATATATTTGGTTGTATAAAAGACAAACAAATATAAAAACTTAATTGTTATATAACGTGTATGTAAGCGTTAATATAACTTTTATTGAAAATTATTTATGGTCATTATGTACTCATGAAATTACTTAACTTCCCTTACAATTTTTTTGAAAATTAAATAAGAATTTCTATTTAAGAAAATACGTTAATGATATTAATAATTGATGTAATAAGTTAAATGTAATGCATAGTAATATTTATATAGCAATGAAGCATATTAAATGAAGAATCGTGTTTCATACGTAATAAGGTGGTTCACACTATGACAATAACTGTCAGCACCGTATTTTATAGAAAAAGAGAAGAACAGGAGGGGGGCAGCGTTCTGAAATGCCGACTTGCGGGCGTGTGTGACATTTTGATGTAGAGTGTCTTTGATGATTTTCGTTATGTATCGATTTAATACATAGATATTTGTGATAAATGGAGTTTACCGAAAATAGTTCTACAAAGCCCATATAAGATAGGTAATATCTGGATGTGTATGATTGATATTCTCCTGTAGGTTAGGGACTGTTCACCCGGAATAAGGGCAATGATAATTTGTTTGACGAAAATAATATAACGACAGAAGGTATTTAACATCGCGCAATAGCCTTTTTTTAAATAAAGCTAAATAGTAGAAATATTTATTAATTTTTACGAGAAAAGTACATCACGAAAAGGGAAAATATCATTAGCACATGTTCATTATTAGGTTTAATCCTTTCAAAGGAAAACAAATAACAAGGAGCTATA